ACACTTTTTTGTATTATTGATATATAGCTAAGGAAGTATCTGTCGTACATGGGACACCTCGTAGATTTAATGGGCGATATAATAAATCTGAATTACCACATCATGCATAAGTTATAAATAATAAGGATATAATTCAAAAGTGGTAGATCTTGGTTTACATTTAAAGTAAAACAAACTTATACATTAATTGTTGCTTTCCTGCAACTCTGTGTGTAAAAAATACTTTATTATCATATTGCAGTTACTTATTCATTTTTGCAGTTGGAACCTCAAATAAGAACCTGCCCGAGAACATGCTTTTGCTCAACTTGACATTTTTATTCTGTTACCTACTTCAAAAAATCTGCCCTAACAGATGGCAGATGGCCATCAATCACTCCTAGTACCTACTTCAAATTCTTAATGTGTTCAACTCAACCTAAATTTTATGTAATATTGATAAAGAACAGGATATGTTTAGAATGGGAAATAACATAATTATACCTCATCTGTACCACAAATTCTAAGAAAAATAGATAGAACATCAAAAACAGTTTTTTTTCTAAAGTAATTTTTCCCCTCAAAATCCTATGTTCAAAAACATTGTGGCTTAAAGTACTACTGGTTTTAAGCATAACAAATATGTTATATTATACAGGTCTAATGGACTAGATCCATTGCTGATTTTGCCGAGGTTTTTAAAATTGCATTACAATTATATTTATAAATGTTCATAAAAAATGCATCCCTATCAACATGACAATATGGAAAAGTCATCAACAATAACGAATTTAAGCTAAATATTACAGTACATCTCAAATCAGAGATTATAAGGAATAGATAAACGTGGTATACATGGATTTTTCTAAAGCTTTTGACTGGATCAGAAAAATTTCAATTATCCGATAAACTTGTTTAAAATATCGTCTTTATTATGTTATCTATAATGGGTTTAAATGTGAGCTATGTGCGGTTAAATCAGGTATTCTTCAGGGGTCTAATCTTGAACCTCTCTTTTTTTGATATATATTAATGACCTTATAATGTGAAAAGCTGTGCTTTGTCCATGACTTAAAATTTTATTGTTAAGACTGAAAAGTTTTTGCAAATCCAAGTACGTTTAATTGAGAAGTGGTGTAAAACATTTTCAAGCATAATTTAAACATAATTAAATGTAAAGCTGTTAGATATTCACAAAAAAATGAATATTTAATTATTCATTAATGTAAACTGCAGCTATCCTATAAAATGTTGGGTTTTATTATAATATATATTTTTAATATTAACACATTAAATATGCTCTAATTCTCACTTCAATGCGTTTTAAACCAGAGTATGGATCATTAATTTGATGTTTCATTTACCTATCGCACTTAATGTTTAGCTCTAGAATTGGTTCAAAGCGAGGGGCGATCCGCTGATGTAATCTTCGTACGTTTGCCCCGGAATCTGTATGTAATCTACGTAATCTTATCTGTAATCTATGTAATCTATCTGTAATCTACGTAATCTTATCTGTAATCCTCGCTGTAATCTATGTAATCAGCTAATGAATTTCGTCGATGTAGTCGTTGTACAACGCCCCCCCCCCTACCTCATTTTCCAAAGAATGCCACAGAAACCTCGACAGAAACCTATATGGTGCGATTGGTGTGTTCCGAAGGGCAATCCGCCAAGGAAAAAACAGACGAAGATTACAAAATTTCTGAAATCTCTTGTAATGTATCTGCAGATTTCAATATCAATTCAAAAAATATTACAAATTTCATATAAATAATCAAGATTACAACACATTTCAGGAGATTTCAGAGTTATTTTAGTAGATTTCAATGATTACTTAAGATTTCAATAGGATTATTAGAAATTAAAAGAATATTTCAAAATTTCTTAATAAGGTTTCAAGGAATACGGGAAGATTACAATAAGTTTTGAATGTCCATTTGAACAAAAATAATTGAATTAACTTCAAATGTCATTCATTTCATTCATTAACAGTAGTACTTTGATTAAGAATTTCCAGTATCAGGCATTTTTTGGGCAAAAATTGTAACATTCTGATTAAGTTTTTTGTTCGAATGAACGTTAAAAACATTTTGTCATGACAAAAATGATAATGCTATTTTGAAAGTAGGTAAGTATTTTCCCAAAAACTAATAAATAAAAAATATATTAAGCTTTTATTAATACTTGCATTTAATACTTTACTTGTATACAGTGTGTTTAAAAAAGACGCGGCAATATTTAAGGGAGTGATTGCTCAGGTCAGTTTATAAAAAAAGTCCTATAAACATAGGTCCGCAAACGCTTCGTTACCGATCTACAGAATGTGAAATTTCATTAAAAAACAGTAAAAATTAAATTTCTCTAAAACGCAGCCCCTTATTATTACCTACTACAAACAACAGTATGTACCACATTTCAAAAATCAATCAAATTTGATAATTTGAATTTCTTTGTTCAATAATTTAAATTTCTCAATTAAAACAACATTGGGTTTAGGTGCGCAATAAAATGTTTTTTATTTTTTTACTCAATAACGGTGTGACGTACGGTGCGTATAATCTGAGGAAAGCTTTCTTCTTCATAATTGAACAAGGAATTAAAAAATTATATTTTTAGAAAAACCAGCGGGGTCCTATTTTTTTCATTAAAAATAGCTAGTCACTGGTAAGACTAAAAAATCGTTTTGTATTGCAAAGTACGCGTCTGCCATAGCTATTGACAGGCCTAAAATTTCATTATAATATCAAGAGGTTTTGGAGAAATTTAATTTTTACTGTTTTTTTAATGAAATTTCAACATTCTGTAGATCGGTAACGAAGCGTTTGCGGACGTATGTTTATAGGAACTTTTTTTTATAAAATGATCTGGGCAATCGCCCCCTTAAATATTGCCGCGTCTTTTTTAAATACACTGTATACAGGTAAAGTATTAAATACAAGTGTTAATAAAAGCTTAAAATATTTCTTATTATTTATTTTTTGGGAAAATGTTTATTTTATGTTACTTCTATTTTTTTATTTTTATTAGTTTATTGGATTATTATATTTTTATCTTTCAATAAAAATATATACTTACCTACTTTCAAAATGGCGTTATCATTTTTGTCATGACAAAAAGTTTTTAACGTTCATTCGAACAAAAACTTAATCAGAATGTTACAATTTTTGCGTAAAAATGATACTGGAAATTCTTAATCAAAGCACTACTGTTAATGAATGAAATGAATGACAGTTGAAGTTAATTCAATTATTTTTGTTCAAATGGACATTCAAAACTTATTGTAATCTTCCCGTATTCCTTGAAATATTATTAAGAAATTTTGAAATCTTCTTTTAATTTCAAATAATCCTATTGAAATCTTAAATAATCATTGAAATCTAGTAAAATAACTGAAATCTCCTGAAATGTTTTGTAATCGGTTGAAAGATATTGTAATCTTGATTATTTATATGAAATTTGTAATTTTTTTTAATCGATATTGAAATCTGCAGATACATTACAAGAGATTTCAGAAATTTTGTAATCTTCGTACGTTTTTTCCTTAGCGGATCGCCCCTCGGTTCAAAGTGTGCTTCTGCTTCCCAAACAGTATTAAGTATTGCTTTCTAGCTTCAATATTCCATCTTAATGCTGAGACGAATTATGAACAGTATCTTATTTTTAATCTGTTTAATAACAATAAGGACTGCCGTACTCAGAATATTTTACCATCACAGTACATAATTTCCATCCTAGGCAAAATGAAACTTTTTATTTACCAACAGCTAGTAGGTACACACACTATCAAAAAATCTTGCAATTTTAATACTATTTTTGATGAATGTGATATTAATGTTTTGTAAATTACATCTATAAATAAAGCTATAAAAGATATTTTTCAATTGTAATTATTTGTTTTATCTTTTTTTCTTCTATCAAAACAAATCTGTAGGATATGGTTAACAAATAGCAACATCTTTTCAGATATAAAGAATCATTACAGTCTGTGCTACCAAGGCACTATATCGAGAGTCAAGTACTAACTAATCTTATAAAAATAATAATGAAGTCTTAATTCCAAAGAGATCGGTTTTAGTCATTCACTGGATAAATATTTTGCAATTTTTAAAGAAAGCTAAAGGAAATGCTTGAATAATATATATGTTTTATCATTTACAGTTTACTAGGTCAATGTTACCCAACTAAAAAACATTCTAAATAAGCCAAATTTTAGAACATTTCAAATGCTTATATCTGATTTTCAATATTAATTCCTGTGAATTAATAATATCTATATTAAATTAAGTACATTTCTATTTCCATCTTAAATATCTATAAACATATGAGGTCTTCATACATCTTAAATATACAATTTTTTAAATATTTAAATATAAACATTGTTAGTCAATGTCATAGAATAACTGTGACTAATATGGGCAAAGAGGCAGTTGAGGCATGAAATTAGTAATTTTTTAAGTTTGTGAGATTATTTTATTACTTGATTAAAAATAAATTAATATTTTGTTGCGAAGGTTTAATTTTCTTTAATAAAATTTCAAATTTAGATCCCAGATTCTAGCTTATGAATTCTCTTACTATAATTTAACCAATACGAACGACTACATTAAACAGTTTATATACCAAAGGAATATAAAACTATTTTTAGTGATGCCTATGTTTATAATGAATTTAATAAAAAATAAAAATTGTATGAATAATTGTTTTGATAATGATCTATAGCAAAAATGTAATCACCACTAGGTACCAAATGGCATTAAAGTTTTTCAAATCAGTAGTGGGATGGATACTTGTGTCTTGAACCTAATATACTGCTTTTACCTGAGCTATAAAATTTATATACTAAAATTATAATAATATATAGAAAGGGACAGTTTACTTTGCATTAAAAATTGTAAAGTGAAACTGCCTACACTATCTAGTATGGTAATTGTTTAAACTAGTTCACTTTGAGAGACTAATGTAAGGATAATAAAATGTGGCAATTGAAACATTTAAAAAATCGTTCTCAGAAAACTTACGTGTGTATAAAAGAGAAAATATAAACTTCCAGTAACTTAGCATCTCCATTGTTTGGTTCTTATTTTATGATGCTGTTGGAGTTGCACGAATCCAAGAGAGCTCCGACATGTCGACAATTACATACAATACACTAATACAAAATTCATTTTATTTTTCGCAAAATACAAACTAAGAGCAAAAATTAAAAACATAAAACCGCAACTTAAACCACACCACAACCAGCCACCTGCAAACTGTCAAACTCTATTATATATTTTGTGTGTCAACTGTCAAACAACGAATCAGTGATAACACAACACAAAACAAAAACTTGTGATCAATGCTGCCAATATAAACACATGCAGATACTGAAGTTAGTGACCACCTAGTGATTGTCTGGTGAATTACTTATGAAGTAATTTAAATTTATTATTTAGTGGGTTCATTGCCCCTAAACCAGGGAGACTAGATAAGGAGCACGAACTCATATGGGAAAATTGACAAAATTTGTCCAAGAAATGGCAGAAGTTGGGGTGGCGCTAGTGTTCCATATGTCCCAAGTGAATGTAGCATAATAAATACGAGTGAAGTAAGCAAATAACCAATTTTATTTTATAATGAGATATATCGTGGACGTATATAACATAAAAACTAGAAGTCAAGTCAATAATTATTACAATTTGTTTTTATAATGGTAAATAAAAAGTTTCGAAAATAATTTAAATATGGTAATAGTATGTGAAGTGAATGACTGTCAACAGATTTAAAATAAAACAGTACGTTTGTGATCTGCATTTTCAATCTAATGATGTCCAGCAGTTCTATATTACAACTTGACCGAATAGTGGGTTAATATTATGGCAAAAGGTCGAATAATTCGGAAGTTGGAAGCATCTTCTTTGATTCTTAATACGGTAGAGAAATTTTTAAATAGAAAGATTTCATAAGTGAAAATATTGTATAATTGAATGATGCATTGTTTCTTTATATATTTTGCAGCAGCATCAACAGCAAGAGCATCCGCTACACCAGCAACAACAGGTGCAGCAGCTACAACAAGAGCAACAGTTACAATAATAACAACAACAACAACAACAACAACAACAACAACAACAACAACAACA